TCGAGTCTCACAGATCTACTTTTTTGGATTTTTTTCCCTCCCCTTTGATTGCAAAGTGAATGGAAATCAAATGCCTTCTGTTAGAGTTCTTTTTTAGGAATATGCAATGTGTTCACTTCGCTACGTGTAACCCACACAGCTACAGGTGGATCCTAAATAAAGGAATCTTAATTACAACTTTGAGGCTTCAGCAAACCCCCTGCCCCACATGAGCAGGTGCAGAATTGAAGGTGGCTGTTTTATGTTTTAGTTTTGTTAGTTACTACAGGTAGGCAGCCCGTGGGGTTTGTTAAAGATTACGAAGGGGGAAAAGGACATTAGCATTGTGTTCAAGGGGATGGTTAATGTTGACCAGGGATCTTCTGGGAGGTCAGCTCTGTTTTAAGGATCATACCATGAAAGAGATTGGGAATAGTTTCTCAGAGGTGTACAAACTAAAATTTGTTACCAAATTCTGCCCATTCGCAGTCTCATCCTAAATTTCTTCAGGTATGATTGGCCTATTTCAGGTACCAACTAGCAGGATGAAAAAATTAACGAACAGTCCATCAAATGACTAATGGGGTTTTATTTTGAAGCGGAAATGGACTTGAGGTAAAATACTCCAGTTAATGTGCTATTTGCTACAGTTTGAAATCCCCCCACTGAGGCTTAAGCACTCATTTGAGTATCATAAGGACTTAATTTTATTTAGTGCCCCAAGTACCAAGACATGAAAATCTTTTGGTCTTAAAATGAGATGCGTTGCTCCTCAGAAGTAATAATTAAGAAAGATGACAGAGGACACCTATACTCACAAACTTTGTATAGGACTGAAAAATACCATTTTATTTATTTATTTTGGTACCGAGGATGAAACTCGGGATCTTGTGCTTGCGAGGCAGGCACTGGAACCACTAAGCTAAATTCCCAGCCCTGAAAATTACCATTTTAAGTCAGACTGGTACCTTTTCAAATAGGGCTTCTTAAGAAGTGGAATGTCAGGATCAAATCTTGGACATTGAGGATAATGATAAATACCTAGGTTTCTTCTCTTTCCTTACCTCAATTTCATTCCCTTAATTGACCACAAAGTATACTGAAGTAACATTTAATTTATACCCTGTAAAAATGTTTATAAAGCATTAAAAGTTTAAAAAGAAAAAAGTTCTCTCCAGTACTGTCTACGGTCTTCCCAGCAACAGTATTTTTGCTTTAAAATTTTATTTTAAAGGGGGAAGGTGAATAGATATGAGATCCCCCAAAAAGTTAATATTAAAAGATCCATACTGAGCTAAAATATAATTATACTTCAACTACAAAATTTTAAGGTTATTTTTATTTACAATTATTGAAAAATGTACATTTTTTACATGGGTTACTTGTGCAAAGTTAGTAGAGCGATAAATGCATAAAGGCAACGATGAAAATCAGACAAAACATTTACAAGCTTTGTCTCACACTGTATAGCTAAAAGTGTAAATATCCAAAGAAAGATTGCAGATGTTGATTTAAGGTTCTCATAACACATAAAGGGATGAAACTAAAGCATGCAGTAGTAATTCAGGATTTGAGTGAAAAAGTTTGCCAGATACTCTTTCCTTAAATTAATTAAAACTTTAAAAATGAAGGATTGTTAAGTTTATTTATGGCAACACTTCAAAGAATGAAAGGATCTTCAACTTTCCCTAGCTCAAAAACTGACGATTGTTTCCATTCCTCTGCTCCTACACCTCTTTAAAAATCAAAAAACTCAAAAAAGACCAGTATTCTGAAACTTAACAGTTGTGTCCCATGAATATCTTATAAGGAGTGGATTTGTTAGTTACTATATTGCTGCACTTCCTTTGCTGGGTCGTTCAGCATTCTTCCTACCAATAAATATCATCTTGTCATTTATATTGCTTAGGAATTAGTATCATAGGATTTTTTTAGCCCCTATTTCTTTTTCAAAATGGATCTTTATATGGATTTGTTTCCCTGTTTTCTACAGCCCACACATTCACTTCTGATTCCCACACAAAGGAAGAATTGGCCAGGATTAAACACTTCAGCAAATTATTTTGTTAAAAATAATATCCTGATCATCATAAGAACCATTATATAGCATTCATCTTAAAAATTTAGTATAAAGTATAATAATACAGATAACTGCCTGAAAGCTGGAGATGAGCAACAACAAAAAATATTAAGCATTAGTAATTTTTGCAAGTAACCCAGGTACAGTACATTTGATTTCAGAGGGTGTATTTTGATGTTTAACAAGAGGGTAGAAGGGGTAGGAAAACTTGGCAAGGGAAGATGGAAACAGCACGGTAGCTATTTTGCTTTTAATAAAGTAAATGTAATAACATTGAGGAATAAGAAGGTGATAAATTCATCAATACATATTTTTCTTATAGCCAGCTTCTTTTGCTCCACCTGAGGTCAACAGTCACGCCAGCTCTGTTCTACGATTGCAGAAACACGCTTTTCATATTCCCTCTTGTTCTCCTGGTACAGCTGGGCAGCCTGGCTGTTTGCTGGACTATTGGGATTGGGTTCATCCAATAGAGACTACAGAAAAAAAAAATACTGAAATGTCAGGCCCCCAATGCAAAAAATACATGTCTGGGACAAATAATCAGGTGGTAACAGTGGAATTCTAAGTAATAGCTAAATTTGCTGTCTTTAGCCTATTAAACTAATACACTTAACCGCACTAACCTGTAGTTGCATTATGTGCATGTAGCTAGGCAAAGACACACACACACACACACACACACACACACACACACACACACACACGGTGCTTGGGTCATAGTCTGGTGGTTTGGGTCCTAATGTCTACCACTTTCTATCTATAAAATGAACTTTGACTAAAAATAAAAAGGTCTTAGTTACTACTTTAAAAATAATCATTAATATAAACATTTCAAAGGTCCTAGTCAAATTAAGGAAAATTCACCTGTATGGATGTTAAGATGGAAGAAACATCATAGGTTGGACTCCAACGGTTCTGAAGTATATCCAGACATATACTACCATCTGCATAGACTGAAAGAGCATGAAAGTAAGTATATTAAACACAACAAGGTCACTAAGGTTTTTCTGTTTTGTTTTTTGGTACCAGGGATCAAACTTGGGTCCTTGGGCTTGGAAGGCAGGCAGCGGAACCACTGAGCTAAATCCCCCGGCCCTAAGGTCGCTAAGGTTTTAATAGTCAAAACAAAAATAGTCAAGAATACTTTGCATTTGAAGTTTTAAAAGATACTTCGTCTGCTTCCCAGGTACCTTCCTAAAAAGATAAATGGATCATAACTGTTACTAGTCAAATAATCAGGATGATCAGAGAATGTGAAATGTGATTAATATATAATTGGAGGATACCTAGTGCTCATTTTTCTGAAAAGACTACCTTATTTTCCAGAAAATTATACACAGCCTCTAACAGGGTCTCTTATCCATACAATTGTGGGAAATTCAGTGCACCAAATTTGTAAACTGTATCTCCTATACAAAATACTAAAAGAAAGAAGCAAAAGTTAGAATCCTATAGAGCTATAGAACTTTGCTAACATACTATACAGATGGCTCTTAATAACAGAATCTGATATTTGGCAGGTCTGGGGTAGGGCCAGGCATCTATTATTTTTTTAAACATTCCATGGGAATTCTGATATACATGCAAAGCTGAAAACTATTGTTCTAAAAGCTAGTGAAGATAATCACAACACATGATTACTCCAATGTAGTACAGCATTAAAAGGGTATCTCAATATTATTCTTATTTTTGTTTAATAAGTGACAGAGATCATCAAAATCAGGCTTTGACTCCAGGCAAAGGGAAAATATCTTCACTAATTCAGTCCTAAAGCTACTGTAGAGATCAAGATGGCAATGGACCACTGTGAACAAGTTCACATTTCAGGAAACAAAGATGCCTAAGCAAATACTAAGTATTACATATAAATAAGTAATATGAAATACCACTATAATAAACATTGTAGCAGTTTAAAGATACTGTATCAAAAGTGATACTTGCCATTTGGATGAAACATCTTAGAGACAAATCTAACTGTAGGTGGTTTATTCGGATACTCTTCAGTGAATTCTATTGTAAGTTTAAATGTTCCTGTAGTTGGAAAAGAAAGAGTTAAGAAAACATATTTACCACTTTAATAATACGTTATTTTAATGCTATTTGATTTTTTTTCAGGTATTAAATGAAATAATGCAAAGCTATAGTGTAGTGAGGAAAGACAGTCCAGGTAAGAGATATATAGAACAGCCCTAAAGATGGACAGATACTCTGAGAATCACTATCTGAAGGTGATTTTTTTTGGCTTTGCCATTATTCTCCAAACATGAAGACAGCCATCATAAACTCAGAATTACTGCCTTCAGGATAACTACAGCTACTGTGCATTTTGAAAATATCTTTATAATAAAATGGGCCCCAAATTTGGCCTTCACCCTTTAGGACTATAAGGCCTCAAAGTCCTGTATCAGTCAGTTACAACTTAAATGCTCAAGTGATTTTAAATGGACTAGAAACAAAAGTGCAGAAGTTCAAAAACCAATACTAGCACTATAAATCCATAATTGTTATTTTTAAATTAGAAGCATAAAAATGTCCACTATTTTTTTCAATAGTGACTATAATGAAAACTCAATTGAATTTAAGGCAGAACAAACCTCATAATCCTCTCAAAAACCCTTATAAAGTACTTCACTATAGAAGCAAGTCAATTATTAACACTAATGGAGGGAATTAATGACAGGAATAATTTTAAAGTTACATTTAGCTTATAATGTATTCATGACTCCTGAAATGTGTTTCTAATAATGTTTGCTTAGGCTACTATTGAAAAAATTATTTTTCTTAAGCATGTATCAACCTGAGGTAGTAGGAAGCTATAAAACATACTAGGATATAGACAAACTGGATCTTGTACAGGAATTGTCACATGTTGAGATCTGGAGAGACTGTGCCCTTCAAAATGTTTGTGTTAAATAAATTGCAAAAAACAACTGGGCAATTATTTTTCCTGACTCACATCTCTTCAAATAAACCTAAGAAAGGAATCAGTTATTAGCTGGTATAAGGTGATGCATGTTTTACTATATTACTCTGGCCATTTAATAATTTATTTATTGCCATACAATAGACCATACTTCTGATAAAATATAATTTATTGCTGATTCCTTGAGAGTTTGCAATTTGTTTCCTTGTTCCCATTAAGTTCATTACTGCTGAAGAAAAAAATACTTCAATCATTCTGCTACTATGTTATATAACAATATTAAGTTTGTATCCTATGAAATGCAAAGGAAACAATTTGCTAACGAAGTTGACACTGCTGTAAACATGAGGTCCAAAATGTTAAAATGCAACAAGGGGCTGTTTGACAGAATGAATCAGAGAAGGGTACTATCATTTAGCCTGAGAAATTACATTTGGTAATGCAAAGACCGACTCACATCATCAAAAATAGAGCCAGTAGTAATGTCAAAGGGGGTGAATCCAGGTAGGTAATGGATTCCATGAGTACCTTTTCAATTTATACCACTTAAAACAAGAGAAGCACCCTTAAAATTTTAAGTAGCCAACCTCTAGCACAGTGATGTACTATTAATACAGCTGTACCTAGCATAAGATAGTCTGAGTAAAATGAAAAAAGAAACCAATGAAAACAAAGCCTACTAGAGTTAAAGCAAATCCTGTTAATCTGCACATAGAGCTTAGTTTTAAATAATGAGAACCAATCTAGTAGAGAAAAAGTCTAGCTAGCTCTCGCTACAATCAGTTCAAATAATTCACTGAACCAAAGTAGTATGCCCTTAGAATCACTCCTCCCAACATTTCATTGCAGCACTGAACAGCAGTGGTATTTACCCAGGGGTGAAACAGAGAGGAAGCCAAAGGTGACTTTCTACAGCAGTAATAGGGAACCTTTTAGTTTTCAAAGATAACAAATAACCCACTGTGGCATGCATGCCATAGGTTTGTCACTACTGGCCTACAGTGTCCTAAGGAAATCTGAGTATTTGAGACAAAGTATAGAATTGGTTGACCTTGACTTACCTCACAGCATTTTGGGGACTGGCAGCATCAAAAAGCAATCTAACTCAGCAACACAAATATTAAGTAGTTTGCAGAAATGTTTTGTTCCCACCTTCAAAGTGAAGGGAGTGAGTGTATGTATATATGCAAAGTGCTTAGTGACTAATGGAAGATAAATCACTGAGGAAAAATAACAGATCCTTTCTTTTTTAAATACTTCAAATATTAGTTCCGCTGCCTGCCTGGCAAGCGTGAGGACCCGAGTTTGACCCCAGGTACTAAACAACAACAACAACAAACAAACAACCCCCCTAAAAACAAACTTCAAATATTTCATTAGCTCAAATACCGTTAACCATTATTTAAATGTTCTAAACTTTATATGTTTAAACTTTCTAAAAACAATGAACAACTAAATACAAAAGAGTGCATATAAAAATATATTACTCTTAATTTCCTGGTTGTGATACTGTAGTTATAGACATTCAGTGCTACCAAGTAGGGTGGTATGTGTGGATGGGGCATGAGTAAAGGGTATACAGGGTCTCTAGTACTTCTTGCAACTGCACATGAATCTGTAATTATCCCAAAGTTTTAAAGAGCAGTTAACATGTGTTTGTAAAAGTTAAATCTAAGTCACCTAAAACTTACAGGTCTACTGGTATAAGTAGTACCTTCAAGTAGGTTGGACATTGGTCAAAAGAGGTAAACCTCAATTCTAAAGCTGCTTTGAGATTACTGACCATAAAGTCTTGAAAGCACACACTGCAAATTAATTTAAAATCAAGAAATGATATATACTCACATTAGGCATTTAAGACTATCTTAGAGTAGTGAAACTGACAGGCATTCAATGTCAGATAGCTGTGTGCAAGGGATTCTTGCATCCATTTAGCATCCAGTAAACACATGCTGAGCACCTGCTGACCACAATCCCCGCCCTTGGGATAGAATTCTGAATCAGATGGTCTCTGCTGATTGTCAATAACTGGTCGGTTTCATCTTAAGTCAGTATCTCAATTAGGGGCAGCAGGGGGAGGGTAGCAGCACCACGGACCAAACCTCAAAAACCCTTAACACCAGTACTACAGTGCTCCTTTTCAAAAGTCACCACCTCATCGAGGATATTTTAAAAAGAGAGAGAGAAAAAAAAAACTGGTGCCTTTCTAGTCGAGCAGACAATATACAGAACAACCTGCCGCACACTGGATTCCACTCAAGCCTTTAGTAGGCAGATGCTAGGCAGAAGCAGGTTCCTAAGGAGGAGGTACTTGCAAGATGAATGAGAACCCCTTCCTCAGAACGTCAGGCACCTGAAAAGGTGAGTAAAGAAACTCTCTCTTACCGTCCTCAAACGGGGTCCCTTCAGGCCTGCAACAGAAAAAAGCTGTCAGTTCCCGCTCACAGGGCCCTCTTCCCCCAGGCTCACCTCAGGGGAGGGCTATTCGCTGTCAGCCACCCCTGACTTTCAAGGTAGTGGTGGCCCGACTGGAAAGCCACCACAAGCGCTCGTTCTGCCGCTGCCGCCGCCCCCCGGCGCCACCACTCGCCACCCCGCCCCCCTAAGCCCCCAAAGGTTCCTCTGGCAGCGGGAACTGAGCTAATGGAGGCACAGGCTCCGGGGAGGCGCCTAGGCCTAGCCAAACCCATTCTCCCTTTCACCCTCCGCCTTGGCCAGGGCCCTGCCCTAAAGGGCAGACCGAGCCCGCTCCGATCCCTCAGCCGTCACCGGCGCCGGGGAGGGCAGACTCACCCGAAAATGACCGCGTTCCAAACCATTATGTTGTTCTCTGACGGAGCCCCACTGACTCCGGCCGGGGGATCTTCCTGCAGCCTTCAGAAAAAAAGACAGGCCCCCCAGCCCCGCACTCGGGTCCACTCTCGGCGGCTCCCTACTCCCTCCCGGTCCGCGTCAGGACCCGCCCTGTGACCCGGCCCGCAGCCCCGGCCTCCTCACGCCCCGATCGGTTACCTCTTGAAGTCTCTCATGAGGCGCCGCCGAGCCGGGGTAGACATATCTCTAGCAGGGTCAAGGGTGGGGCATACACCAGTGTCTCGGGTCCCCGCGGGCGGTAAGGTGGCCGAGGAGGATGGAGAGGCTGAAGAAGGGGAGGCGAAAGCTCCCAGGGGAACAGCGCTGCCCCTCCGAAGTCGAGGGTCTGTCTGGCGCCGGCTAAGCACCACCCCTGAGTAGACAGGGGCTGAACCAACCTGAAAAGAAGGATGGGGGTGGAACACCGAACGCCGGACTGGCCAAACCAAGACGGAGCCGGGGCAGGGGAGCAAAAGTTGCTTAGGTCATTAAAGCCTAGCAAGCAGGCAGGGAGTGGTGCTGGTGCCTGGCTGGTCCAGAGCAAAGGAAAGCCTACGATTCACAAGGAATTAGTGGTGGAACGAGGTCATGTCCACTTGCCAATACCAGAACCCTGGGAAGTTTGCTGCTTTTTTTTTTTTCTTTTTTCT